GCGATTGCAGCATTGATTTGCTTTGATGTCATAGCTTTGAACTTCGGGCTTGCCGAGCAGAAGCCGTGGCAGCTCAAGCAGAAAGCATAGGAGCCCCTTTTCTGGAGCTTGTCCTCCTCTGTCGGGTTGTTGACACAAGGGTTAGGAATTCCAAAGGGTCGCTTGCAACGGACACAACTGGTGGCTTTGGCATATGGCATTGTGGTAACAAGCGATGCTACTGAGGCCAAGTGGGCGAGAACCTAGCAGCTACACCTGTCGAGAGAAATCTCGCATGTCAGCAATGGATCGCAACCAGCAAGCAGATCACCAAAGAGTCGCGGAATCATCTTGACTACGGACCTTGCAACCTGTCACCGGAAAGCAAGCAGCCAATCTCAACTCTCCTACAAGATGCAGTCAACATCAGTTCATGTGCAGCTGGCAGCACACGTAGCCGTAGCTTATCTTGTTCTCGACATGCTCCATTGTCTGTTGGTCTGTGGTTCCGTTTTACGGATGAAATACAATTTGATACACTTGAAGCAACCTATACAGCACGTGCACGACTCTATGGGACACAGCACTTATCCAGATCCTCATGCACAAGAAAAAACGGACAGCCAACTAAAGTGGCTGCTGCACACAAGAGTGTCACAAGACACAACTTGTCTATACAAAAGCCGGACACCACTACCGATCAACCCTTTCGGTCCTGTACAGGCTGTACAGGCACACGACACACAACTGCAAAAGAAGTTTGTAACAGCTTGGGGCCTTCCGACTTCGCTCAAACAGACTGCAGGGCATCATGACTCCCACCGCATCCATGGATCATCTGCACCACTCGGCTTGAACATGTACTCTGGGAATCTCCTGCAGGCCCACCCAAAACACATCAGCGACGATGCAAGTGATTCTTTCCAAAGTTATCTAAATCGAAGGCTCGGCATCAGGATCTCCTATCCAGACGTGAGGGGCCACAAGTCTTGCAACTCTCATACGAAACCCTTCAGCTCAAATCTAACCCTGATATATAGTCTTAGAGTCTTGGATACAGACTCCACTCACTAGATTCTAAAGTTGAACAGATGTAAGTTGAGTGCAACGAGAGCCCCCCTGGCAGGTACGATTCTCTGTCAGAACAAACACCAAACATGTGGCCAATCCATACTTGAATTACGGCGGCACCCTTCTGCCCCTTCCTCATCGCCAAGTTCAGGTGTCGAGTGATCGTTGCTGGTGCACTTCTTGACCGGCTGCGGTGTCATGAACTGACGACCATGACCCCTTCTACTGGAAACTACGGATCATCTACTGTCTGTCCTCCTGCTTCAAAACCAACCACCTGTGGCGACCCTGTGGCACCAGATGCTGCACATGCTACACCGAGGGTCCTGGGTATGATTTAGCAACTCAGGAGATAGAAGTATAGATAAATTATAGACTATAGAATGCACAGAACATAAGTTCACGCAGGCACTCGGAATCTAGAGGACTGCTTGTAGACGAGGGCTGCGAGGAAACTCTTTCTAGATTTGGGCACAGTACGGTGTGACGAAATGCCACTCTGTCTAAGACTTGCTTCTGAAGCCCAGCGACCGATTGGTCCATTAGCCGGAGCCTGTGACTTACTTATTATGAATCGTGGTTCTCTGTTCGGGACCTTGGGCGGTGTGGCGACTACTTTTTTGGGCTTTGCTGGAGGGCTGAGGAGGCTACTTTGGGGGGGGTTCCCGGGATGGTTTGGGGGTGTTTCTGGAGGCCAAGAATAACCAGTTATCTCCCAAGAATAACCAGTTATTCTTGGGGGCCGAGGATAGCTGGTTATTCTCTCACTCTATAGGGAGACTACAAGAATAACCAGTTATTCTGGGGGCCAAGAATAACCGGTTATTCTTGGGAGTTAACTGGTTATTCTTGGGCCGCTATTTGGGCCTGTTGGGGGCCTGTTGGGGGCCTGTTGGGGGCCTGCTGGGGGCCTTCTAGGTCGGGTTCTATCTGGGTCCACCTGGAGCCTGCCTGACCCCTGCTTGTAGAGAGCCTTGACAAAGTGTTGAGAGTTCCTCTGGTTGCGACTCCCTTGTTGTATTGTTGGGATGACATGTATAAGGAAGAAATGCTGCAAGAGGGTCCTGGGTTCGGGGTCTTACATAACTTACATAACTACATAACAGCTTGCAAACCCAGGAATGGCCAGCAACTTCAATGACTCTTTCGTCAAAAGTTGCTACAGTGGATGCAAGACACCTACACCGCCTACACCTAACAACAGCCCTAGGATCTGTACAACCGAAAAGAAGCCCACTATCCCCCGCGGCAACCACTGTTTTCAAAGACGAACCCCCCCCCATCTTCTCAAACTGCTTCGTATGTAGCCCACATTCATGAAGGGCTATAAAGACGGCGGTCGCAGAGCCTGTGCATCAGCCTTGTAACAACCGTCTGGCACCATCTACATAGACGGGTCGAAAAGACTTATCAGTATCTGTTCGGGGTTAAGGTGAAGTCCAGACGTCAGGCTACGAACCTATCTGGCTAGCTACATAGCTACATAGTTACATAGCTACATAGCTTCATAGCTACGTACCTACCTACCTACCTAGCTACCCAGCTACATAGCTAGCTACCTGCCTACCTTACTACCTACCTACCTACCTACCTGCCTGCCTACCTACCTACCTACCTACACTGCAGCAACATGCAGCAGCAGCAGCAGCAGCAACATGCAGCAGCAGCAGCAGCACAGGAAGCAGCAGCAGCAGCAGCAACAACAGCACAAGCAGTAGCAGCTCCTACCTTCGTATCTACCTACCGACCCACGTTCCGAGGTCCTTTCCCTACCACCTAGCTCTCTCGCAGCGACCCTAGGTAGCTATCTATCTACTTATCTACCTAGAGCTCCTACCGACCTTCCTTCGTGCCTTCTCTCTCGTCCTTGCCTAGCGACCTTCTGCGATTGAGTCACTAAACCACCCAATGAGTTAGAAACCTTACTAAGTGTTAGTTACCCAGCCCCCTAATTTGCCCACGGAGGTGTAAGCTTTTGTAGCAACTCAAGCGGTGTTGCCATAGCCTACTAGCCTAGACCATGTCCTTCAGTCTTCATGGTTTGCCCCGGAAATATTACTTTTAGCATTTGGGCTGTCCAAGCTCCGAAGGCAGATCGGCTTACACAAGCTCATACCTCCTAAACAAGTTAATGAAACGAATGCCTCATCACTCAGCACCGGAGAGGATATCGAATCCCAATCATTAGCCAAGCATACCCCGACAACCTAGCCGTGGTAGCTCCAGACAACTGCTCCTAGTAGAGTAAGCACGACTAAAGTGAAGTGCTGATTGGCTGCGGCCGCAGAGAAGCTGCAATGAAACCCAGGACAGGAAATCCTTGCCACTTCTGAAGACTTACTAATTAAATCGGCCACGACTAGAACAGCCACGGCCTTGCCACGACACATCGCAGCCAAGCATGGTGCTGCAGTCAAGCGAAGCGGAATCATGATTCTTGTGACGGGGCAGTGGAGGCCTGATAAACATTCCCACGGCCTGGCGGTTATGAAGTGACATAATAGCAATAATAGTGTTAATATGAATAATAATCATAACATATAATTTCATATAATATGATCTATGTATATATATATATAGAACATAGTATCAGTTATACATATAAGACTACATCATGTAGATTACAGTCTGGTCACACAGGACACACACATACATATATATATATATATTATATATATATTTATATTTATTTACATATATTATAAAGTTATATAATATAATTATTATAATAATAATCAATATAAATATTATATATTATATGATTATATATATATGTCTATTTCATATTTCAATATTTCTATTTTTGTGATATGATATTATTAATAGTTAGCTATATAAGCTATATATATATACATATATATATATATCATATATATATATAATATATAATTATGTAATATATATAACACAGTAACACAGATACATCCTATAGCAGCCTACATCATATGTCATCTAATTTTGATACACGTACAAAAAGGGTTAGAATCGGTTACAAGGCCTCGAGGAGGAAACAACAGTTTAGCAAACTATTTTTTGGTGTTGTCGAGACCGAGAGGTGGCTGTGTCGGATGATGAAGGAATTTGGCCCTACTCTTTGGCTTTGGAGGAAACAAACGGTTAACAAACTGTTGGTTTTTTTTCGAAACCCTCAATCCTAAACCCTAAGTTGCTTCGGCTGCAGCTACTGCATGTTGTGTAACTGTGTAACTGTAGTTGTCTCGGGTAATGAGTAAGATGCGATGATGTACTGAATCTCGCTCATTGCAGCAGCACCTAGCCTCGGATTGTTGGTAATCCTTCATGAGACCTTCCGAATTTTCATCCCCAGGGCCTGTCTGACCTCCCGGGATAAGTCCGCATGTCGCGATGATGACACATCTGCAGCTACGGACAGCCACTCTATGAGTCTACGAGCATCCATGCAATTGATGAGGCATTGGCATTGCCTATGCCTAGTACATACAGCTTTGTACACGACGCGATCCCTTTGTGCTAAAGTTGAAATACGACCCAACACTTCCGATCTTCCGCCCACGACTTCCCAAAGCTCATACTGAATCGATCCGTGCTTGCTCTCCAACAGCT